GTATAATGAACGTAGATATGCATGCTTGTACGGTTTTGTAAAATACTTATGATTTAATCGATAGTTGACACTTAACATATATATATATGTAGCCTCTAATACATATGCTTGCTTGAAACTTAACAGAGATCGAATGTAAATGATTTATACTAATGCAAAATTGGACCGCCAAAAAAACTGATGGAATAATGTCCTAATTAGCGAAAAACAATCCTTCCAAAAACACATAAACGAAAAATGCATATTTACTTCTTTGAAAAGGTAAAAAAAAAAGTTGAGATGAATATATGTTATATATATGATAAGAGTAAAATACAGATTATTTTTTTTTCATTTTATTGCTGTACAAATTGTTTCGTGTTTTAAACATATGAATATGTAAATAAACTAGGCTTCCCGTCCATCTTCTATTTTAACTTTTAATAGTTTCAGTATTTTCTCTTCGATGAAACAAAAACTAAATATTTTGCCGATTTGCATTTTTAGTAGATCTCAAAAATTTTACGACCATAAACATTTGTTTGGGGCATCCATAAACCTTCATTGGGATCATATGAGGTTACACACAAAATTTAAGCCCAATCGGTTCAGTCGTTTTGACGTTTATTTGACACAAACGGACAAACAAACAGACAGACAGACAAGCAAAGTATATATCTAGATGTGTGTAAGCTAAAACACATGAAGCGCATGAAATTCAAATAATATATTAAAATGTATATTTACTAAAAACATTAATACTTCCTCAGCAGACGTCAAGGGGAGTTTTTACGCAAAGGGAAAATTAATGTTCCGCTTATTTTCTTTAGATTTTAAATAAAGCTTTGACAAATTAGGAATTTTTTGAAGCGACATTTTTAGAATAAACACAAGGAAATGTCCATTATTCTATTAAGTGAATTCTAATTTATGAACGAAATAAGTCGGATAATCTTTTTAATCAAAAAACATCATTAAAAAGATTCGAAATAATTTTAAGCTTCATTGGAAATTGAATTAGTCAAATTTTATTTTTAAAATATGAAAAAGTTATATTTTTACCTTTTAAACAAATGAAATCTCTCTATATAAACTCCATAATGCATACATGATTATTTTGACAGACAAAAATGATTTTATCCGAAGGTCTTCTGCTCTTTATATCCTTCGTAATAACAAAAGGTTAGTTTCTCTTTCTTTAGATTTGTATGATGTGGAAGCATGTTTTGGACTCTTTGTGTGTTTTATTTTTGTGTTCTCTGTGTCATGAAAAAATCAGTCCCGAAGTTGCAATTTTCGAATTGAAACTATAATTAAGTCAGTAATAGAAATAAAAAGTTTTTTTTGGGATTATCTGAAAAGAAATATTCTTTTATCCTTCTTTATATCTCTCCTTTGCTTCTGTTTCATCTCCTTTTCTCCTTCTTCTCCCGTTTCTGTCTCTATCCTCCTTAACATCCTTCTTCTCTTGCTCATTCTTCTTCTTCTTCTTATCTAACTCCACCTTCTTATCCTTCTCCTCTTTCTCTTTCTTCTCCTCCTTCTTCTCTTTCTCCTCCTTCTTCCTTCTCCACCTATTTTTTTTCTCCCCCTACATCTCCATCTTCTCTTTCTACTCCTTCTCATTCTTCTTCTCTTTCTTCTTCTTCTCGTCCTTCTTCTCTTTCTTTTCATTCTTTTCCTTCTTCTCTTTATCCTCCTTCTAACCCTTCTTCCCTCTCGCCACCTTCTCATCATTCTTCTCTTTCTCATCCTTCTCCTCCTTTTCATACTTCTCCTCATTCTTCTCCTTTTCTTCCTTCTCCTCTTTTTCTTCTTACTCCTCATTTTTCTTCGTCTCTTTCTTCTCCTTCTCACCCTTCTACTCTTTCTCCACCTTCTCATCGTTCTTCTCTTTCTTCTCCTACTCATCCTTCTTCTCTTTCATATCCTCCTCCTTATCCTTCCCCTTCTTCTCATGTTTCTCCTCTTTTATAATTTTTCTCCTCCTTTCCCCCTTTCTTACGTACACTGCCTACCTTCCCTCCCTCTTTATAAAAAGAAAAAAATGTGAAGAATTTGTTACTCTGGATAACGTACATGAAGTATTTTGTTGGCAAAGCAAACTTTTCAAATTTGTTTTAATTAAAAATGGTGTTCGTGTTTCTTACCTCATTTATCAAATTTGTTCTTTTGCCTTTCTTATTTACTTAACCATTTTATTTTCTTAATCAAACCTTCCTTCCCGTCCTACCAACGAACCTACCATACCTTCCTTCCTTCTTACCTACCTATCCACCTATTTACCTACCTACCTACCTACCTACCTTATCAACCTCCCTACATACCTACATACTTACCTACCAACATTTTTTTCTACCTACATACCTACCTTGCCTAGCATCCCTACCTTTAAACTTTTATACCTACCTCTCTACTTACCTACTAACCTTCCTTATTACCTACCTACCTATCGCCTATCTTCTTTCCTACTTCCGTAATTACCTACCTTCCCACCTAATTATCTATACCTTCCTAAATCTACCTGCCTATATTATGATATCTATCCATCTCTCTAGAGTTTACAGTCTGTATCTAGGATAAGAAAATAGTCTTTGTTGCAAAATTATAAATTTATGATTATTTGTTCCTAAAGATCTATTTATCAAGAATACGAGTATACTCATCTAAACAAAGATAAGATGGAGTTTGGGGAAAATTAGACAAACAGGGATAAAATAACATCCATTAAACCCAAACCAAAGTTGTCAAAAGAATAAACCTTCATAATACAAGGTAAATAATAAACCTTCATAATACAAGGTAAATAATAAACCTTCATAAAACAAGGTAAATAATAAATCATCATAATACAAGGTAAAAAATAAACCTTCATAATACAAGGTAAATAATAAACCTTCATAATACAAGGTAAATAATAAACCTTCAACATAATACAATTTGGCGTGTTATAATTTGTAATTTTTCTTTCAAAGCAAAAAAGGAAAAAATTCAAATATTATAAAAAATGTTTAAATGCAGCTTTGGTTAGGTCTGAGAGGTAAGATTACTTCTTCTCAAATACATTATTGAACAGCAAAACAAAGAAAAAATTATAAATTTATAAATTTATAAAGTGGCTTGGTCGCCCTATATATTTTCAGATAAGATAACGAACTTTATGATTAGATATTCAAATAAAGAAAAGAATAAGGGCATAAATTCATAAAACTAAAATAATTACAGTTACAAACTCGTCTGCATGATTTTTTTGGGATTATCATCAAATCATGTAAACACTGAACCTAAATAATTAGAAATATTTGGTATAACGGTAGACCTCAACCTCTTTGGTGTTAAACATAGCTTTCAATTGGAGTCATTAAATTTCCTTTTTAAAGATTTGTTTATTAAAATTTTAGAAGATCATAAATTCATGATTCTCGTGGAATTTTTTAGGGTTTTTGTTCAATAAATATAATATAACATTTAATATATAAAAGTATGAAATATTTAAATCAGAAACACTAAAATATGAAGTAAATACGTTTGTTTGTAATAGGTGACCCTATTCCTGCTGCTGGTCAATTTGACCCCCCCCCCCNNAATTTTTTTTAAAAAGTAGGGGGGGGGGGGGGGGGGGGGGGGGGGGGGGGGGGGGGGGGGTCGCAATATTTTTACTAGGATTGAGTCAATCAATTAAATTGTGGAGGAGAAAAAAAATTTAACTTGTTTTAAGATTTTAGCTCATGAGTCATGATTAGTTACTAAGGTCTTCAGATAGAAGAAATAACAGTTAAGTTTAAAACTTGCGTATTATTAATTTAATTAAAATAGTATCGATAATACTAAACATGATATAAAGAGATATAATTGTTGTTTTAGGATCTGATATTGATGATTATACTTACCCAGAATCTGAATATCATTACGAGGACTACAATATGACAGGAACTAATCATTTAGAAATTTGATTAATTTTATTCATTATTCTTCCATTTAGTTCATTTATTTATTCATTTATTTGTTTATTCCTTTAAGAAAAGTTTTCTTTAATTTATCCAATTTATTCACTCTATTTATCCTGTCATTCTATGTTTTATTTCGTCATTTATTCATTTTCTTATTCATCCTGTCATTTTGTCATTTATATATATATTTTTATTTATCCTGTCATTCTTTCTTTATTTGTCATTTATTCATTTATTTTTTATTCATCCTGTCATTCTTTTTTTGGCATATATTCATTTACTTTTTTTTATTCATCCTGTCATTTTTTTTTTTGCATATATTCATTTATTTTATTCATCCTGTCACTCTTTCTTTGTTTTGGCATTTATCATTTATTTTTGTATTTATCCTGTCATTCTTTTTTTATTTTGTCATTTATACTTCTTTTTTATTTATCCTGCCATTCTTTCTTTATTTTGTCATTTATACATTTATTTTTTCAATTATCCTGTCATTCTTTTTTTGGCATGCATTCTTTTATTTTTAAATTCATCCTGTCATTCGTTCTTTATTTTGTCATTATTCATTTATTTTTTTATTTATCCTGTCATCCCTTTTTTTTGGCATATATTCATTTATTTTTTAATTCATCCTGTCATTCTTTTTTTTGGCATATATTCATTTATTTTATTCATCCTGTCATTCTTTCTTTGTTTTGGCATTTATCATTTATTTTTGTATTTATCCTGTCATTCTTTTTTTATTTTGTCATTTATACTTCTTTTTTATTTATCCTGTCATTCTTTCTTTATTTTGTCATTATTCATTTATATTTTTATTTATCCTGTCATTCTTTTTTTTGGCATATATTCATTTATTTTTTAATTCATCCTGTCATTCTTTCTTTATTTTGTCATTATATATTTATTTTTTAATCATCCTGTCATTCTATCTTTTATTTGGTGATTTATTTATTTATTTTTCATGTCATTCTTTCTTTTATTATCCTGTATTTTTTTCTTTATTGATTCATTTATCAATTTATACTTTATACATTTTTATTCACTTTTATTAGTTATGTATTTTTTGGCATTCGATCATATTTTTCTTTATCTCTTTCGTTCTTACTCAATTTCTTTGAGATTTTAATCATTTGTTTCATTATCTCGTAAATTTTTTAGCTTGAAAAAAGTTGGTTTGGAAATTTTATTTCATTTAATTTTTCCTCATTGCTTCTTGATTCATTTCTTTTAATACATTTAGTTCAGTTAGTTAATTTTTACAAACTCTGAGTGTAAATGAATTGTTAAAGGTTACTATGAAGATGGGTTAGGGAGTGGGTTAGAACCAGATTATATTCAGGAAACTGAGGTTAGATCATTAATATATTAAAGGAAAAATGAAAGAGGGTATAGGCTGAAAGCTAATCACTTTAGCTCTTGATCGTGACCAATGAAAGTTTTATCTGATGTTCCTGTCTCGAGAAATTGATATAAAACTGTAATATATATATATGTAACATTTAGAAAATCTTAAACTTAAATCACGTGACCAGAACTATCACCAATGGCAGAGCAGTATACTGGTCACGTGTCTCCGCCTGTACCACTTTACTGCACTGCCATTGGTGGACTTTCTGGTCAAGCAATACGGACGTCTAAATAATATTATGATTTAAATCTATAAAAGATAGATATAACAAATATAAAATTAGAATTGGAGTAAACCTAAGTTACAATTAGCTTTCTCTGGGATATCATCCTTTCAGATTGGTTGCTTATTTGCTGAATTTGATCTTTTTAAACCCACTACTTTTATACAAAATTGTATATATATTAATTTTGGTATAAATTTGACAAAGTTGTAAATCAATTTCTCGAGATAGGAACGCCAGATATAACTTTCATGGGTCGCGATCGAGAGCTAAAGTGATTAGCTTTCAGCCTATACCCTCTTTAATTTTTCCTTTTCCCTTATAGAAAAGAAAATATTTGATAAACCCGACAGTAGTCGTTTATAGACGCAACAGATAGAAGAAAGATTAGAAGCAATCACCATCGAATTCGATTCGACGTTAGCCTATACCTGCTTTCATTTTTCGCAAACACTCCCTTTAAAAATAATATAATAAGAATTCAACTCTTTTCAGAGAAAATCCCGATAGTTATCAAGACTTCACTAAAGTATTCATATGTCATGCTCTTATATACTGGAATACCAGATTCATAATTCATGCTCTTACAGACTGGAATACCAGATTCATAATTCATGCTCTTATAGATTGGAATACCAGATTCATAATTCATGCTCTTATTGATTGGAATACCAGATTCATAATTCTTTCTCTTATAGATTGGAATACCAGATTCATAATCCATGCTCTTGCAGACTGGAATACCAGATTCAAAACAGTTCCCTTTCAACTATTTTCTGATCATTGGTGGCTAAAAATATCTGTAAATTAATGATTTCCAAACTAAACCGGAAAAGTAGAGTGTACGCTAGAGTTTGCAATTCGAACTTAACAAAGCTGATTTCACATAGTTCTCTAAAATCCCGAAATTTTATGAACCGTGGTTTAAAAATTTGAATGAAAATTTTTTTTTGTCAATTTGTATTTTTTATCTTTTAATGGATAAAATAATAAGGATATGTCCCTTATAATCGTTTAATCAAAGGTTTAAAACTGTAGTGAATCGAATATGTCACTCAATAATAAGAAGGTTACTAGAAATAACGTAACCCTCCAAAGTCCCCTAAAAAAATCGTTTGTATTTCATAATAATATTTAAATCTTATGAATTGATAAATTAATGGGTTTAAGGTAGTCCCAGCATTTATAGAAGATGAAAGTCGTCTTGAAGTGGATCGAGGAAATACTGCTCGGTTAGTCTGCACAGTGAGTCAATTAGGTGAGAAAATATACCTCGGCCAGTCTGCACGCACACTGAGTCAGTTCGTTGATGAAATATTGCTAGGTTTGTCTGCACAGTGAGTCAATTAGGTGAGAAAATATAGCCCGGTTAGTCTACACAGTGAGTCAATTAGGTGAGAAAATATAGCTCGATTAGTCTTTACAGTGAGTCAAGTAGGTAAGAAAATATAGCTCGGTTAGTCTGCACAGTGAGTCAATATGATAATGAAATACTGCTCGATTAGTTTGCACAGTGAGTGAACTAGGTGAGGAAATACTGCTGGGTTAGTCTGCTGCACAGTGAGCCAATTTGTTGGGGTTTTTAAGCCAATAAAAGGAAATACTGCACAGTGAGTGAACTAGATGAAGTTTTTGGTCCAGTAACAAGGATAATCCCAGATTAGCACCATGAGTCAACTGTAGCTTGATTTTTAGTCAAAACAAAATATTTTTATTATTTTTTCTGTTTATAATTTTTTCAAAATCTTAAATATTAGTTGAGCAAATTTTAAAATCTGATAATAACCTGGTTAGAAAAATATGAAAGATATTTCAAAATAATTTAGATTTTTTTAAAAGTAATTTTTAGGAAGCAGCTTAATATCATGGAAACGAGTAAACGAGGATGGAAATCAAGTGAGGAATTCTAAATTCTAAAATATTTAAATTGGAACTACAAATATCAAAGTTCAACAACAAATATCAAATTTAACAACAAATATCAAAGTTTAACAACAAAAAAACTTGTATTTGTTTAGGTTTACCTAAGCATGGGAGATACTCTTATGATCAAAGACAGGTATTCCTTTATAAAATTAGTATTCTTGTTCTTGAAGAAAATTAGTGTTGTTGTTGCTATTGCTGCTGTTGTTCTTTTTGAAGAATAACTATACTTGTTGTTGTTGTTGTAGAAGAATGAGCGTTGTTGTATCAAGTAGTTTTCCTGCTACCTTTACTCTAACTATACTTGTTGTTGTTGTTATTCTTGTAGAAGAATGAGTGTTGTTGTATCAAGTAGTTCTCCTACACTACCTCTACTCTAACTATACTTGTTGTTGTTGTTGTTATTTTTGTAGAAGAATGAGTGTTGTTGTATCAAGTGGTTCTCCTACACTACCTCTACTCTAACTATACTTGTTGTTGTTGTTGTTGTTATTCTAGTAGAAGAATGAGTGTTGTTGTATCAAGTGGTTCTCCTGCTACCTCTACTCTAAACTTGTTGTTGTTGTTGTTGTTCTTGTAGAAGAATGAGTGTTTTTGTATCAAGTGGTTCTCCTGCTACCCGTACCCTAAACGTGTTGTTGTTGTTGTGGTTATTCTTGTAGAAGAATGAGTGTTGTTGGATCAAGTGGTTCTCCTGCTACCTTTCCCCTAAACGTGTTGTTGTTGTTGTTGTTGTTATTCTAGTAGGATAATGAGTGTTGTTGTATCAAGTGATTCTCCTGCTACCTTTACCCTAAACGTGTTGTTGTTGTTGTTGTTATTCTTGTAGAAGAATGAGTGTTGTTGTATCAAGTGGTTCTCCTGCTACCTTTACCCTAAGCGTGTTGTTGTTGTTATTCTTGTAGAAGAATGAGTGTTGTTGTATCAAGTGGTTCTCCTGCTTCCTCTACTTTAACTATAGCTCTTGTGGAAGAAAAGGATACAGGTTTTATGTCCGTTCTTATAATTTAGTAAAACTTATCAATTCTGTTACACGCAAAATTTTAAACATAACACTATTTGCTCCAGATTTTATCTAGGGTTATCCACAAAGAATTAAACTATAAAGACGACCTGAAACTCATTTAATATTACTATCTTGAGGTTAAATTTAGTGTTCTGCTTTAAATATAGTCTTTTCATTGCTTTTAAAAATATTGGCAAAGAAAGAAGCAAGATTATAGTTGCAGAGAATCATGAATGTAAATTAACAGACGTACAGTACAAATTCCGTACAGCCGTCTCTCACATCTCATTCTTGGTGGATAACCGGCCCTGTACATATTCCTGAGGATATACATTTTCAGAATTTACCTGGACTTTTAATCAAATCTTTTTTTCACATCATTAACAGTTTTTTAAAAATATAAATTTTTTTAAAACAGATTTTAATATTTAAACAAAATTTAGTTTTAATCATTATTTATGTTTTTTCAGGAGATTATGAATGTGAGGTTTCCAGTATTCCACCGATAAACAAATTGTACAGGTACAGTATACAATTAAAAACAAATTGTACGGTATATATTTATAAACAAATTGTACAGGCACGGCATACATTTATAAACCAATTTTACACGTGCAGTATACATTTAAAAACAAATTGTACAGGTGCAGTATACATTTATAAGCAAGTTGTACAGGTACGGTATACATTTATAAACAAATTATATAGGTAGGGTATACATTTATAAACAAATTGTACAGGTACGGTATACATTTTTTAGCAAGTTGTACAGGTACGGTATACATTTATAAGCAAGTTGTACAGGTACGGTATACATTTATAAACAAATTGTATAGGTAGGGTATACATTTATAAACAAATTGTACAGGTACGTTATACATTTTTAAGCAATTTGTACAGGTACGGTATACATGTATAAGCAAGTTGTACAGGTACGGTATACATTTATAAACAAATTGTATAGGTAGGGTATACATTTAAAAACAAATTGTACAAGTGCAGTATACATTTATAAGCAAGTTGTACAGGTACGGTATACATTTATAAACAAATTGTATAGGTAGGGTATACATTTATAAACAAATTGTACAGGTACAGTATACATTTATAAACAAATTGTACATGAACGGTATACATTTACAAACAAATTGTACAGGTACGGTATATATTTATAAACAAATTTTACAGGTACGGTATACATTTATAAACAAATTTACAGGTAGGGTATACATTTATAAAGAAATTGTACATGAACGGTATACATTTATAAACGAACTAGCTGAAGGGCCCGGCATCGACCGTGGAAAAAAAAACTGAAAAAATGTTGAAAAAATGAGTGTCCCCAAAAAAATCAGCCCAATCGGTCCAGCCGTTTGGCCGGCTATACGCAACATTTATACGAATGTCTTGTTAAATTATATAGATTGTACAGGTACAGGATACATTTATCAGCAAGTTGTAAAGGTACGGTTTATATTTATAGACAAAATGTACAGGTAGGGTATACATTTATAAACAAATTGTACAGGTATAAATTTGAAAGTTAAATCTTTAACTCTTAACCCCCCCCCCCCCTTAAAAGCATATCTGGATGCAAAAAAATGTTTTTGTCGCAAACATTGACAAACAAAGACAATTGATTTATGTTTAAGCGTGTAGAGAATATAGTATTTTTAGTATTTTTATTTTCTTGTTTTGTTAATAAAGCAGTCACCACAAGTGCAGGACCTTAGACAACTCAATCAAAAGCAGGACCTTAGACAACTCAATCAAAAGCAGGACCTTAGACAACTCAATCAAGAGATTAAAGCGACTGTAGACGTAATTTAAGGTGATTCTCAACTTATTATAGATTGGTTAGTCCGATTCACAACGGTTCCCTTAATATTTTGTAAGATCCAAGATGAACAATAAATCCTTATTTGTCTAGCTAAAAATTAAATGTTTTCAATTATTCTGTCAATATAACACTTTTCTGAGAGAAAAACAACAATGTCTTCCTTAATGTTGCTCAGAAACCGGTTTAAAGGCACCGTTGTTAATCGGCCATGCCATTTTATTTTAATGGCGGGTCTTTTGAAATTACGCCTTCAATCTCTTCAATACCAACATTTAATCTTATTCTAATAGATATGTCCGGTCCTAGTGCATCTGAGAATTGCAGCGATTAAAGTAAAACTTTGTTTCGATTTGCAGGCTGCCGCTGTAGCCGGGTCTGTTGTTAAAAAATCATCGTAAATAATTGTTTAGGGTTGAAATGAGATCTCCACCACGAGTAAAAGTACAGGGTGTTCCTGAATCAGGGAATATTGTTCTCAATCTGGGGGATACGCTATACCTTACTTGCCAGGTTACTTATACACTGCACTATTATACAGAGTTTTTTAGAATAAATATATCTATATATATATATATATATATATCTCTATAAAGCAATAATCAGAACAGCTTCTCAGTTTTCATATTTATTAATACAAATTGTTTCAGATCTCTCGATCCTCATCAGTCAATAAACATGGGTTAACTGATGTTTTACGACAAATATTATGGATTTTCTAAATTTTTTTAACGGATTTTCAAGAAATTAATTGACAATTTCAAAAACTTTACTTAATAAAAAATAACTAAGGAAATTGCAGTAACACATGAGAGTCTTCACATTATCCCTGCCTGGCCAGTTGGTATCTTCTGGTTTGGTTGTTTAATGGTTGCAGACAGAAGGTATTTTGCTCTATGTCTACATTTTCCCAACAGTTCACTTCTCTTGTTTAACGGTTTTTTTTTCTTCTCTAAACAGAATAATTGTTTTCTCCATTGTACATAATCTGCAGTTTTTAGAGGCTGGATTATATGCAGGTGCAGATGCTTCTATACTCCAATCTATGTTGAATGGTTTGTCCTCAGATTTCAGTTTCCATATGTATTTTGAAAGGCTAGTACTGGTTTCATATTTCTTGAGATTGATTTAGTGTGATTCAAGAACCTCTCCTTGAAGGTATTAGAGGTTAGTCCAATGTAGACTGAACTTTCATCATTTGTTGATATTTTTGCTTTGTATATAATTGACTGAGTTAAACATTTGCCTTTTAAAGGACATCTTGATTCACCAAATCGGCAATTACACTCTTTCTTGTTTTCTGATGAAGTAGATTTTTCTGTTTCTTGTCTGATTATCTTTCTATTGTGTCCCGCAATTATCGACTCCATATTACCCATGCAGCTGTAGGACACTTTAACATTCGATCTATTGAAATATTTTCCTAAGTCGGTGTTTTTGAAATGCTTATCAATGATTGACAGGAACTTTGCTGCAACATTTGTCTAAACATTTGCACTGTAAGGTGGATTAAACCAGATAACTTTTCTATGCCTTTTTCTTTTTGATTCCTTTTCTTTTTCTTCCGTATAAACCAGCTTTTCCTTGTAACCTGCATTTTTTAATGCTTCTTCATATGGTGGAGACTCAATTTCAAACATTTCTTCAGTGCTGGATAGATTAGATAGTCTGCTGCAGATCATTCTTGGGAACTCTTTCTTTATATTTGGAGGATGGTTGGAGTTTATATCAATGTACACAGGTGTATCATTTGGTTTTCTGTAAGCTTTGAAACTATTGTTTTTTAGATCAAGCCAGAGGTCTAAAAAGTCTGTTTGTGTTATATTACCATCAATGGTTACTCCCAGACCCAATTTCTTGAAGAAATTAAACATTTCTTTTCTTAATTTTTCTATTTCTGGCCCAGACAGGGATACAGCCGCTAAACCATCATCTCTATAAATTCCTAACTGATTTTTTCCAATTAACTTCTCTAGTTTATTTAGGATATATAACCCAACTAGCTCACAGAGTTCAGCTCCGTCGTAGGCACCCATGGTTACATCAAAATTTTCTCTTCCTTTCTTGGTCCATGTTTCTCCATTTTGAAATAAAAATGATTCTCTGCTGTGAAGAATAACATTAAGAACATCTTCAGGAATTTTGTAGATACTGCGGGCCCAGTTGATTGAATCTAAGAATAGCCTTTTTGTAATTGAAGGATAGAAAGCAACTATGTCAAATTTTAAGAATGACAAAGTTTTTTTTATTTTGTAAACTCTGAAACCATATCTTTACTTGTGTTGAATTTGTCCATTGGTTAAAATCCTGGAGTTGTCTGATGTTTCTCACTATTTCTTCCAACATTTGTTTGCTGATCTTTCCAATATTTGACTTTGCAGGATTTATTAATCGACATTGTATTCTGCTGGGGAAATCAGGTTTATGATCCTTAACTGTAACATATGCATCTGAATGAATAAACTGATCCACTCTATCATCAATTTCCAACTTATTTGCAATAAGTGCTGCTTTCTCATTTGTACCTGATACTTCTTTCTTTTCACACTTTTTATACACTGATGTAATGTTGTCTGTTACTAATTTGTTGTATTGCTTGACAGGTATCTTGAACATATTTCGTGTTTTATCAGCACTTACTATAACATCTTCAGATTCATGAATTCTTTGGACATCTTTCTTCAACATAGACTGGAATTTTGAATGTATATATATATAGATATAGATATACATTGAATAAACAATAGAAAATGTTTTGAACTTAATTCAAGAAGATATATATATATGTTGATAATTTAATATATATTGTATTATTTCAGGGGTTTGGAGATCCTGCTCCCTCCCTATATTGTATTATTTCAGGGGTTTGGAGACCCTGCTCCCTCCTAATATTGTATTATTTCAGGGGTTTGGAGACCCTGCTCCCTCCCTACACTGGTTTAGGGAGCATGGTTTACTCCCTACAGGGGAACAAACACAGGAAGGAGAAAGGTTTGGTTTTTTACTAGTATTGAAAATTCAAATCTTTTGTTAAAAAGATAAAATTCGCTTGAAAATATAAAGAATACAGCATCAATTTTATGAATTCAGAAAAAATCTAAAAGTTTTGCTTTCACAAATTTGTATTTACCTTTTTCTTCCATTAAACTGAGAATGTCTATGAGACTCATGGAATATGTATTATAAACCTACCCATAATGATTATAAAACCTTTGCAAACGAAAAAAAATCAAAGTATTTGTCTAAATCCCAAGCTGAAAGTTATTTCAGGAAAAAATAAAGCAAATTATAGATATGTATTCCACATGAATTCGTTAATTATTAAAGAAATGAGATAGAAACGGATTTTCGTATTGAAAAGTATTGGGATTTTTGCTATAAATCAAACAATTACGGTTTTTTTCTGATAAGATTAATTTAAACTTGCAACTTGATATATTTCAATGAAAAATATAAAAAAATATTTGATTGCTTTTAAAATTTTCTGTAGGAAAGTTAATTACAACTTGAAGTACATGATTTACAAAATGTATGTTATGGTTTAGGTTAGCGTACAGCAGTGTACGTAAGGAGCACTCTGGTACATATGGTTGTACCGGAAACAATGGATTTGGGCAGCCCAGTACACAACTAGTCACAGTTAGAATTAAACGTAAGTGACAGTTTAAGAAGTTTAATCCAGAACTTTAGAAGCATCAAACGAATTTACAAAATGTCGTCTTAACTATTTTTATACTTTATACTATTACACCTAAATCTCAGTAATTGGAAAAGAAAATAAATGAAATATGCGGGAACAATCTTAAAGAGCTAAAATTGTTATAGTTTGCTTTATACTAGAGGGTGTCCCGCATTATATTGGATTGTTCATACCTTAAAAACTTGAAAATTTGGAAAACTTGGAAATTGAAATGGTTATCAACTTATCGGTCTCACTTTTTTAAACTTTTAATTTAACTAAAATTTAAAAAAAGAAGAAGAATAAAATTTTGAATGGGGAACTCGGCAGAACCACGGGAATGTTATTTTATAGCGAAAGTTTAGTATATAGCCCACTCAGAATTGTGTACTGTGTAGTGTGTAGTACGTGTAGTGTGTAGGCTGTCCTCAACATTTTCAGATATACAGGGTTATTCTCTTAAAGACTTCAGAAACAACTGTACTCAATTTGTACTGATGTTTATTTACATTCATGATTCCCTTCAACTATAAACTTCAAGGCAGACAACTTAATTAGACCATGATATTTTCATATTTAACAGTTTTACCTCGTCCTTACAGTCTCATCCTTTGTGGTTAACCCTCTGTTACAACAGCAACAAATATTAATGCGAAAAAATGTAATCTTGTCAACAATATTCCTATTTTGTATCTTACATTTTTTAGATTCAATTTAATAACCATACATTGAGGTGTTCGTGAAACTATAATCTCTTTTTATGAAGTTACATAAAAAATAGAGATAACAAATATTAAGATGAAAAGGAAATAAATGTTAAAATATTAAGATGAACCGGAAGTGGTGGTCTATAAACAAGTTAGCGAGGATTACATTCAGTTAACTTGTAAAGTAGAGGTAAGATAATATGTTTTCAAATGTTGTCTTCTTTGAAGCCCCTGCTGCCTGCTTCTAAGCTGAGTTTTCTCCATGTTAACAAATCAAAATTTATTTTCTAAATATTTTAAAAACAGCTAAAAATAGAAACTGATCAGTGATCACTCGACTCAAGCTTTAATTTTCTAATCCTATATCTTTTCTACTTATCTTAAAAAAATTGTTTAGCAGAATAAATAGAATAAATATCGAAGGTCTATACAACATTAAGGCTGCAAAGATATAAGGATGAGAAAATTAGAAAATGAGGCGAAATCAGTTTTTGAAACCTTGCTCAATGAAAAAAAATATGTTGTAAATTATAATGAGCCCAAAATTTGTCATTTTTACCCATCCATACATAAATCTTCCCATGGGTCATCTGAGTTGCGTCAAAAAAATTGGGCCCGATCGTTATAGCCGTTTTGACGTTTATTGGATAAAAACAGACAAGCAAAGTATAAATATAGATAACCTAGTTTTTATATAAACTATATAATTATGAATAATTTGTTAGAGTTATCCGGAAGTAAATGAGGTGGTTTGGAGTTGGAGTGGAGGGAAACTTCAACCTAGGTATTCATCTGTTCATCCAATCATCCACCCATTCATCCACTCACACATCCATCCTTCCTTCCATTTATCCATCTAAAGTTCGTCTAAGTTTCTTAAGATCCAGGAATACTTGGCAGTTTCTTGAAAATGATATGTCGTCTTTCTAAAATATATATTATATATTGTACTAGCTATATATTATTATTCAGTCATAATTACTCCAGTCGTTTACCCGCGCTTGGCATTAAATTACAAAACAATTGTTTTGACAAGCATTATAAGCAATCGGATAGCGATCATATAGATCAAAGACAATTTTAAATTCGTCGTTTAGTTGACATGTTCAGTAGAACACATGTAGATAAATTATTATACTATTGTATAAATAGTTCTCCTTTTCTAGCATACAGACGGAGACAGTAGAGAGTGGAAACCATATTCTCAATGTTGTAAGAAAAACACAGGTAAAGGGAAAAGGTTGGAATAACAAATGTTCAGAGTAGGAAGCCCAAAACATTGTCAAAGCAAAGTCTTTGAATCAATCCTTTAAAATGGAGGGAAAGAAGGGGGTGGGGTGGCATTGAAAAAACACACGTCAAGTTGATGAAATTCACAGCATGATCAATGCCATTTGATAAGGAAAAACCATGTGTTAATATCTTTTAGAAATAAGCATAAGTCCCAAAATTATTGTAAACAGAGGATTATTTTAAACAGAGGATTAGTGTAAACAGAGGATTATGGTAAACAGAGGATTGTTGTAAACAGAGGATTATTGTAAACAGAGGATTATTGTAAACAGAGGATTATTGTAAACAGAGGATTATTGTAAACAGAGGATTATTGAAAACAGAGGATTATTGTAAACAGAGGATTATTGTAAACAGAGGATTATTGTAAACAGAGGTCAAAAACGAGAAATATGTTTTTCTCTGGTTTACATTTTTTGAATACGTTTCTATTATAAAAAACAGAGGAATGATAGTCGTCTTCCATCTTCTTTAAAATAATGAAAAGTGCGATAAAGGATTTTTTCAGTTCGTAACTGTTGCACCTTTGATCATGTGCCCTGGACAGTCGTAGTGGAAAGAATTAGATATATTAGTTATACATTATAATCATGGATCAACTAGACAGGATGTAGGGTTGACGCGTATCGGCGTCTGACAATAATCTTCGTTTAAAAGTGCGCAATACCGGAACCTTTTTGTGCAGGATGCACAGCGGGCGTACAGTAAGGTGGTATCTCAATCTTTTTTTGCAAATTAGAAACTAAATTTGTGCAATGCCCTTAAATACTATTATAAAGCTAAAAAACCAGAATAAGAATAAGAAGAAAATTTTCGATTTTGTAAAAATATATTTTAAAAAACTTTTTTGACTATACTATATATATACTCGGTTACTCGAGTGTCCCAACAAATATGGAATTAGGAATCGTCACTTGATTCCCAATAACCTATCTTTAAGGTTATTTTTACTTTTAGAAGCTAAAAATTCAAAATAATTAATTTTTTTGTATCTTCAAAATAATAGAAAGTTTCCAATATTTTTAATTAAAAACTGAAAAAAAGTTGAAATGTATAAAAATTGCATTTTGGAAAGCCCAAGACTGATTTTCTTTATTTAATCTGTTTATCATTTTTGTATAATTCCTATGTATCTTTAGATCTCTAGAATAGCATTTTACTCCAAAAAATCTAATGACAAATTAAAAAACAAAAAATGTCTTTAAGTAAAGAATACAAGTAAGCATATCATTAAAAAACATTTATTTTTTTCTAAAATAAAAAAGCTTTGTGCAGGGGTCCATATAATTCCTTTTTCAATCCCATTTGGGATTGACACATTTGAAAAAAATGGGAGCAAATTCTTTTTAAATGATAATTTTTATTTAATTGGGGGCATTTTTTTTTAAATTGGGGGCAAATGTGTTAATGGAATTTGAAAATGTTTTTTTTTAATTGGGGGCATTTTTTTCAAATCGGGGGCAATGGGTAGCCTATACC